CTATTAAATGGGCGTGTCTAGGCCTCTTTAGCTCACCTAATTTCTTCACAGCCTTTTTCCACTTTCTTAGATGATAAATTCTCTTAATGTGGAGGAAGGCAACAGTGGTAGAGAACATGTGATCCTATCGGAGAACAGCTGAAGAAGGGATGCAGCGTACTCTCCATGTCCTCTCAATTTAAACGTTTTCACAGGCTTAAGGACAGATATTTCAATCTAAAAGAATCAAAAGGCTCAGAATCTAGTTTAAAGAGAGTTTTTATTCTAGTGCAAAGTTTGAGGACACTTACCTGGGAAACAGATTCCAAAGAATGGAAGTCAGTGTTCCTAATTGTAGATGTTTGGGATCGTTTATACAGACAAAGTTCAGGGAAGCTTAACAGAATTTCAGCATCTTTCTTTTCTTTCTTTCCTTCCTTTCCTTCCTTCCCTTCCTTCCTTCCCTTCCTTCCCTTCCTTCCCTTCCTTCCTTCCTTCCTTCCCTCCCTCCCTCCCTCCCTCCCTCCCTTCCTTCCCTTCCTTCCCTTCCTTCCTTCCCTTCCTTCCCTTCCTTCCCTTCCTTCCTTCCTTCCTTCCCTCCCTCCCTCCCTCCCTCCCTCCCTCCCTCTCTCTCTCTCTCTCTCTCTCTCTCTCTCTCTCTCTCTCTTTCTTTCTTTCTTTCTTTCCTTTTGGTGGGGGACAGAGTCTCACTGTGATGCATCAGCCTAGCTCACAGCAACCTCAAACTCCTGGGCTCAGGCAATCCTCCTGCTTCAGCCTCCCAAGTAGCTGGGACTACAGGCATGCGCCACCATGCCTGGCTAATTTTTTTCTATATATTTTTAGTTGGCCAATTAATTTCTTTCTATTTTTAGTGGAGACTGGGGTCTCTCTAGCTGTTGCTCAGGCTGGCTTTGAACTCCTGACCTTGAGTGATCCTCCCCCGCCTCAGCCTCCCAGAGTGCTAGGATTATAGGCGGGAGCCACCTTGCCCGACCTTCAGCATCTTTCTATAAGAGGCTTAATGCATAGTTATAAAGTCTGATTATACAAGGTGGTCTTTTTCTTTCAGGATATGTAACATTCCATACTGAAGATGATAACAGTCTTGGGGTCTTTTGTGCCATCTGTTCTGAGTTAAGTATAGGACTATAAAGAACGCAGTTAATGTATAACAAAGATTAGTGATTAGAATGGGAGGAGATCTTCTAGCTCAAGGCTGGCTGATTTGAGGAATTTCCCACTCCCACCTCAAACCTGCCTTTGCTATGTAAATGTTGAAAGGGAATGGTTGGAATTAGATCTTTGACCTTGAGCTATAAATCCGTGAGTAGGCACAGAGGGCACTAGAAAATGGAGTAGTAAACAGAAATTTAGACCTCAGGTTATGGCATGAATCTCACATATTTGGGGAACATTGAAGAAATTAAAAAGACTAAATTTCAAGGTGTGTCATACGTTGTATAGATAAAATTAGGTCAGGATCTGAAAGGGCAAAATTTAAAACATTTTAGAAATGTAGGGCTTCAAAATTTATCATATAGACTCATATAGACCATAATCACTACAGGATATATTTTGAGAAGAAAAATGAATATAAGAGAAAGAAATGGGATAAAGGAAGCATTGATGAGCAAAGAAACCGGCTAACTTTTTTGCTAAAATGATACCAACAGGAGAGATTGAAGTGCCTTGTTCAAGTACAGATCCTGTTGTATTCTGTAAGGAGATGCCTATACTGAGCAGAAAGCTACTAGCATGACTTAGCTGGCAGCATGTTTTATCCTTTCTTTCTAGCAAGCTATGGGAAATCTCAATACCCTCTGACCATTACCAACCATTACCAAATATTTGAGAAAAGCTAAAATCAACAGAGAGTGCACCATGCACCAGACTCATAAAGAATGCAGTACTTATAACTGTTGAAGAGCAAGCTTGCAAGCTTGATTTTAGGATCTATGAGGACAAAACTATTTTCACTAATAAAACTAAGCCTTGATTTGCTTTTTACATTCTCCTGCTGCCATTTGTGTACAGTGGAGTTTCCCAGGGCCTACCTGACAGTAGCAGCACAACAGAGTACAGACACAGCTATAAGAAACCGGCTGCCTTCTATCAAGCCAGCATTAAAAGATTTGCAAAATGGCTAAACTACCACTCAACTAGTTTTTTTTATTTTTTAAAAACGTTAACATTTAATAAGGTTTATTTTTATTTTTAGAGGAATTAATATCTTTAAATTTTTCACTTAATTTCTAGCATGGTAAATATTCATAGATGTAACCTGTATAAACATTCTTCGGGGTTCTTAATCTTTAGGAGTGTAAAGGAATCTTCAGACCAAAGCAAGCATTTAATAACTTCTGGAAGAATAGAACTAGAATAGATGATTTTAGTATTCACAGTACTACAAAATTTCAGAAAAAAATTTAGAGAAAAAAATTATTTAAACTTAGTCAGTCTTCCAAAAGAGAAAAGAATGAGAAAAAAGAAATAGCAAAAAATATATATTTTTTTAAAAAGTAAGATTGTAGGAAAAGTGGTCAAACAATATAATCAGATGGTTTTAACTTATCAGAAGATGTCATCAGAGTGCATTAAAAACTTAAAGCAGAAATATTATTTAGCCTTAAAAATGAATGAGATTCTGACATATGCTACAACAAGGATGAGCCTTGAGGCCATTATGCTAAGTGAAATAAGCCAGTCTGTAAAAGATAAATACTGTATGATTCAACTTAGACAAGGTACTTAAGAATAGTCAAAATGGACTAGTGGTTGCCAGCGGGTAGGGGAAAGGGCATGGGGAGTTGCCATTTAATGAGTAGAGTTTCAGTTTTATAAGGTGAAAAGAGTTGCAGAGATGAATGGTGGTGATGGTTGCACATTATGAATGTATTGAACACCACTGAACAGCACATTTAAAAATGGTTAAAATGGTAAATTTTGTGTTCTATGTATTTTACTGTAGTAAAACAACACACTAGCCCTTTCTGATAGAGATTCTGTTGTGCCAACTATAGGTGCTCAATAAATTCCAGTTGAATTGGGGAAAAAAGTAAAACAAAGTTCAACCTAAAAAGACATTTAAGATAGTATAGGAAGAATGAAAATAAGGGCTTGGAAAAGATAGGCCAGGTATATCTTCTTTAACAAGGACAATGTAGAACTATCAATACTATTAGTGTGCAAAATAGAATTCAAGATGTGAAAAGCATGAAAAGGGACAAAGAAGGGTGTATTACATTAGTAAATGAGCCAAATACACCAAAAAGATAATGCCATTGATTTGAAATGCATGATAAAAGCAAAACAACTAGACAAACCCACAGTTCCCGCTAAAGATTGATAATCAAAAGCAGACAATTGTGTACTACACTTGTGTACTGCACTTGGCTTGGCCCACAGATATTTTGTTCGTCACACAGTGTTTTTTTAAAAGTGTTGAAATTAGCAGAAAACTTGGTTCCTAATTAAAAAATAAAAAAAATAAAAAAATAAAAAAATAAAAATAAAAGTGTTGAAATAATCGGTTACTATTGTTGCATGACAAATTACCCCAACACCGGGGGGATAGAGAGACTCAAAGGTAGGGGTGATTCAAACACCTAGAATAATCTGAGTACTTGTTTACTCACATGTCAGGTGCCTAGACTTGGGACAACCTGAAGATCAGCTATACTGACCAGAGGGCTCACATGTGGCCTCTCCTTTTCCTCTTTGTTTCTTCTCATTTTCCTCTGAGGAAGCTTCAGAGTAGTTGGATGTCTTACATGGTGGCTTGGGGTTCTAAGCACATGTGTTCCAGGAAACAAGGCATATACCTCATCACCTTTTACGACTTAGCTTCAGAAGTTACACAGCATCATTTTTCCGTGCTCTATTTGTTGAAATTGTCATAACCCCCACCCCTAGATTTGAAGTGAAAGGGCATAGACCCTACCTCTTAATAGGAGGAGTGTTGAATAATTTATGGACATATCTTAAAATCTCCTCAGTCTCACTTCTAGCCACACATTTATTCCCATTCCCCCCATATGGAAAAATACATTCCCTCTTTCCAAAGATGCCCCTAACCTCAAGATCCAGGATATAAATCAGGTCTGGGGGCAGGTGATATTCTTCAGGTGTGGTTTCTCAGTTACAGCTCTTTGAGAGCTTTGAGAATCTTCTACTGGGAGAGACTAGGGGTGAAAAGTGTTATTGAACCCACAGGGGGGTTCAGTGTTGTTCACCACACAGAAAACCAATTGCTGAGATGAGGATTGTAAAGAAGAAAGGATATATGGCAGGAGAGGTCCACTGGGAGGAGGGAGATATCAACTGCTCCAAGTCCATTTCCCAGATCAACAGGATCAGGGGTTTTCCTGGAGGTGAAATGAATAATGCATGAGGGGAGTGAGCATCATTACCTATTTGGGGTATATTGATAGATGTAACCTGCATAAACATTCTTTGGGGTTCTTAATCTTTAGGAGTGTAAAGGAATCTTTAGACCAAAGCAAACATTTAATAACTTCTGGAAGAATGGAACCAGAATAGGTGATTTTAGTATTCACAGTACTATAACATTTTAGAAAAAAATTGTTTAAACTTGGTCAATGTGCAGAGCACGTAAGAGCAGTGAGAAATCATGTTAATACATACGTCCCATGATCAAAAATTGGCAGATAAGTCCTTCCCTGGGTGGGGATTTTGGTATTATAATGAGCTAGGACTTAATATTGTTTCAGTCTTTCAGCCTTGTGCACAGGTTTAATGGGTCCTTGGGCACAATCTGTGGTGGAGTATGGCTTATCTTGTCTTCTCTGGACAAGCAGATGGTGTAAGTCTTTGTAGTTATGACAGCAAGGAGGCTCTGCCGTTTCTGGGGAAAGAAACTCAAAAGGGAGTGCATCAGTGCAACAGAAAGTTACAAAGTTCTGGTCAGCAAATCTTACAGATACTCTGTCTCAAAAAAAAAACAACATTGTAGTTACTGAAAATTGTTGTAATATGGAAATTTTTTGTTCACTTTGTAGCTTTTCTGCAATTAGATAAAAAGGAATCGCAAAAACATCATTTTGATCAGCCTCCAGTGGCACCTAGGAAAAACTACTCTTTCACAAGAGAAGAGGTGAGACAGATTGATCGGGAAAATCAGAGGCTTTTGAAAGAACTGTCAAGACAGGCTGAAAAACCAGGAAGCAAAAGTATAGTTCCTGGAAGATCAACTGGTCATCCCCCTAGGTTGTATCATAGTGCTCTCAACAGACAGAGAGAACAGCAAAGGATTGAGAGAGAAAATTTGGTGAGTAACTGAAATATATTAGTCATCAAAGAAAATGCATTTGCACTGATTTGTAGGTCCAGCTGACAGGAAACCTAAATACAACCACATTTTCAAACTTAATTATTACATAAAAGCAGGTATAGATATAGATGGCATGAAATACTTGATAAGCTATGGATCTGAAAGATACAATATGTTTTGTATCCAAATGTCAGATACAGTGTATCTTCTGTAAAGTATTCAGTCACTAGCTAAATCTCTTTCACTTTATTGTATCCTGGAAAGCTAAAATAAATTATGTATCATTTATTTTAAAGAATGAATACATCCGAATAGATCATATTGGTAGACTACTGCTTGAATTATGAAACATTGATTGTTACAAATTCTACAGTTAAACTTTGATATTCTAAAAGAATACATGAGAACTTTTGAAAATTTTCACATTTAAAACTATTATACCATATTGTTTTCTTTATAAAATTCAGTTCTAATAGTTGCTGATATTTACTGAGCTCTTACTAAATACTAGGCATTGTTCTAAGATTCTTCCAAATATTAGTTTATTGAATCCTGACAATAATTCTTTGAGGTAGGTACTATTCTTACCCACATAAGAAAAAACTGAGGCCTACAGGGCTGAAATAATTAGCCCAAGGGCACAAAGCTGGCAAATAAGTGGCTGAGCCAAGATATTAAACCCAGGTAGTCTCTTAAACTAAATCTCTTAACTAAAATTAGACCCTTAATGAGCATATAAATTCAGAGTTAAGATAATTTATAAAGCTATTAAAATTATTAACACTGTTTCCCAAATTAACCCTCATTATGTTTCATCACTGGTATAGTTCCATTTAACTATATACTTACCTGAACTTGTAACAACTCTTTTATATATTTCTTTATCACCATTACTAACCCCAAGAGTTGAGGAGCTGGGGTATTATATTTACAAAACATGGTAAAGTCTTAAACCCTCAGGAGGGTTACCCTGAATGTGGTGAGGAGTAGGTAATAAAGCAAGTTGAAATGAGGTGATGGATGATAAGTTACATGATAGTTTCTGCATATCACCTTAGCAGTATTCAAGGTTCATTTATGTTTTATGAAAATTTGAAATTACTCTATGTCACAAACATTTGGGTTTATTTTCTTTGTTTTTACTCTCTCACTCTGGCTCTAGAGCCTATCTTATTTTATTTAATAAACAATTACATAGTGCGTACTATTTTACAAATCTTAGATCATTTAATCCTCATAGCAACCTTATGACATAGTTACTATCGTTATGGAAGAGAAAATGAGACACTGAGTGGGACATAGGACTTGCTCAAAGGCAGCCTGCAGGTGGCAGAACCTGGATTCAAATGTAGTTATATGTCTTTGGGGCTATTTTTTGTTGTTTTACAGCTTTATTGAGATATAATTTATATATAACATAACCATTTCAAGTATACATTTCAATGGTTTGGAGTATATTAATAAGTTGTAGTAAAATAATAATATATAAACCAAATTTTACCATTTTAACCATTTTTAAGTGTACAAGTCAGTGGCATTAAGTACATTCACAATGTTGTACAACCGTCACCACTATCTACTTCTAAAACTTTTCCATCACTCCATACAGAAACTGTGCTTTTAAAACAAGTCTCCATCCCCCCTTCCCCTTAAACCCTGATAGCCTCTAATCTACTGTTTCTATAAATTTGGCTATTCTAGATACGTCATATAAGTGGAATCATACAGTGTTTGTTCTTTTGAGTTGGGCTTATTTCACTTAGCATAACATTTTCAAGGTTCATCCATGTTGTAGCATGTATTAGAACTTCATTGCTTTTTATGACTAGATAATATTCCATTGCAGGTACGTGTCACATTTTGCTTTTCCATTCATCTGTTGATGAATGCTAGGATGGTTTCCACCTTTTGGCTATCGTGACTAAACATTGGCATACGAGCATCTCTTTATGTCCCTGTTTTCAATTCTTTTGGCTATATACCTAAGAGTGAATTGCTGGGCCATATGGTAATTCTGTGTGTAGCTTTTATAAGGAACCTAGGCTTACATTTCAAAAGTTGAAATCATTCATATCTAGTGGTTGGTTATTCTATATAGGGCAAAAAATATATTATTCTATAATAGGGCAAAAACTGTTAGTAGCTTCTACTTACAGCTTTTATTATCCCCCAAGTCAGTTGTGCATTTCAGCTATTTTAATCACAGTGGAAAATTACTAGTGTTTTATTCTTTTTACTTTGTTTACTTAGTAGTTTGTGAACAATTTTTCTCCATTTGACAGTAAGATCTTACTTGATACACTCTAGAACAGTTGAAACATAATGTGTGCCACATTTATAATTTTAAACTTTCTCACTGGGCATGGTGGTGCATGCCTATAGTCCCAGCTACTCAGGAGGCTGAGGCAGGAGGATTGCCTCAGCCCAGGAGTTCAGGGTTATGGTGAGCTATGATGACTCCACCGCACTCTAGCTGGGGCAACAGAGTGAGACTCTGTCTCAAAAAATAAAATAAAATAAAATAAAATAAAATAAAATAAAATAAAATAAAATTTTCTAGTAGTCACTTTAAAAAGGTAAAAAGAAACAGATAAAATTTTAATTATTTACCTGAATATATCCAAAATATTATAGTTTCAACATGTAATCAATATAAAATACTAAAGATGAGATATTTTACTATCTTTTTATTTTTTCATACAAAGTCTTTGAAATCCATTATGTATTTTACACTTACAGGCTGTCTCAATTTGGACTAGCCACATTTTACGTGCTCTGTAGCCACAGGTGTCTAGTGGCTTTGGATGGTGCAGATCTGGAATCAAAAACTAATTCATACAGAAGTGAAAAAAGTAACTTAAAGCTAAACAGGAAAATAAGCATGTTTATTATAAAACATCATATATTATTCTGAGAAAAGTTAATCCTCCAGATTTATGTTTTATTTATATTTAACTTAATATTCTCTAAACCAAAATAAAGCTAATCAGATATCCTCTTAAAACTTTTCTTGGTTATTCTTTTGCATTTATTCTTCATAATGACTTTATTTTTGCTGCTTAAAAAATTCTATTGTAAATTTGTATTGGAATTATGTTAAATTTACATTTTAATTGGGGGTGTTTAACACTTAAAATATTACCTTTCTGTCCACCAGAAGTATGGTCTTTCCATTTATTCAAGCTTTCTTGTGCTCTCCCTTAGTAAGGTTTTGTCATTTTCTTCAAAACTATATATTTTTCTGCTATTGTATATGAATTTTTTTCATTACTTTTCTAACTGGTTACTTCTGGTAAACTGTTTTTGAATGTTTATTTTATTACCAGCTGCATATCAAACTCTTATTTAACAGAGCCACGTCAGCTCTAATAGTTCTTCAGTGTGAGCTGATGATATGCTTTTTAATCTGTTGCTAGGCTGTTTATATTCAAAACACATATGAATGTGCACATACACATACACTTTTATGGTTATTTCTGGTCAGATGTGCTGCACAAGCAGGCCCATCACTTTATAATTTTTATGGTTTGTGTTCCTTCATTTACTCCATCTCTGGTGACAAAAACCAAATCAGGTGGCTGATAGCATGATGATTACAGCATTTCTGTTTCAGTGCTCTTACATTAGCATGTTAACAACTGAAGGCTATTTAGGTGGAAATAATTGAGGACAAAGTAATGCTGTACAGAGAAAGGAAAGAAAGGAAGGCAAAGACACTGTATAAAATTGAGTCCTGGCTGGGTGTGGGTGCAGTGACAGTGGCTCATGCCTGTGATCCCAGTGCTTTGGGTAGCTGAGGTGGGAGGATCGCTCAAGGCCAGGAGTTTGACACTAGTCTGGGCAACATAGTGAGACCCCATCTTGCTACAAATAAATAAATATATAAATAAGTAAGTAAGTAAGTAAATAAAGTTAGGCTCCAGCTTGGGTGACAGAACAAGACCCTGTCTCATGAAAAAAAAAATTGAGTCCTGTCCTCTAGATTTAAAAGCATATTGTTAATCTGTCCTTCTAGTGAGGTTTGAGATCGTCATTCTTTGCTTCAATAGTCAGATATTACTTTTCTCTCATTAGACATTGCATCCAAACAAAAATTAAGAGGAATAATAAATAAAAAATAATTTTATCCAGTAGAGGGCGTATTTATCCAGAAGATAATTTTATCCAGTAGAAAACCTCAGTTATATTAGAACTGTATTAAGGAAACTAATTTTTGGCCGGGCGCAGTAGCTCACGCCTGTAATCCTAGCACTCTGGGAGGGTGAGGCGGGTGGATTGCTTGAGGTCAGGAATTCGAAACCAGCCTGAGCAAGAGGGAGACCCCGTCTCTACTATAAATAGAAAGAAATTACTTGGCCAACTAGTATATACAGAAAAAATTAGCCGGGCATGGTGGCGCATGCCTGTAGTCCCAGCTACTCAGGAGGCTGAGGCAGGAGGATTGCTTGAGCCCAGGAGTTTGAGGTTGCTGTGAGCTAGGCTGATGTCACAGCACTCACTCCAGCCTGGGCAACAAAGCGAGACTCTGTCTCAAAAAAAAAAAAAAGGGAAACTAATTTTTTAGGGTATGAAATTTTTAAGTATTCTTGTTAAATTATATCTGTTTATTTGAACATAACATGAATTTTCTTTTTTTGAAAGAGCACAAGAATAATCTTAGCAGGATAGTTATTAATGATACTTAATTTATGGTTCCACATTTACCCTCTAAGAAGAAATGAGATTATTTCATTCCTTTTAAATAAGCAAATCAGTTTCCTCAGGTGTGAACAAAGGTGGGGGGTCAGGGAGAGGAAAATAATTAAAGCAAAGTTAGGGAAAAAGTAGGAACCCTCCAAGAATGTAGTATCAGGATTAGAACCCAGAGCACAATTGGAGTTAACTTGTTTTCTTTTTACTTTTTAAGATTATATATGTAAATAAAAGTCATTAGTCAATTTTGTTTTTATTGTTTTTTATTTATTGTTTATTTTTGTTTATTGTTTTTGTTATTGTTGACTCTGTCTCACTGTGTTGCCCAGGCTAGACTCAAACTCCTGAGCTACTTGAAGTAATCTTCCTGCCTCGGCCACCTGAATAGCTGGGACCATAGGTACATGCAACTGCTCCCAGCTTATTAGCTTTAAATCCAGAGAAATACAAATAAGTAGACATTAAAGTCTTTCCATAATCTTTCCACTTAGGAGTCCCTATGTTAAAATATTATTTTTAAAATAAAACAAGACATGCATGAATTTAGAAAATATAGTAGACAGTTCTTAAAAACATTAAATGGAAAATAAAACCCTCCTCCTCTGTTCTTTGTCTGCTGGACTACAGGAGTAACTTTAGAACTCTTAACACAGAATAATTAGAGAGTGATATATTGTCACAAAGATGAAGATTTATAGCAAATCTCACACCTAGTATGAATACTAATCTGTTGATTAATCAGTACCTTTGTTCTAAGATCTTAAAATAATTTGTAGTTCACTTAATTTGATTTTCATTCTTCTTTGGTTATTGTCTGTTGTCTCTTTACATAGAAGAATGAAAGCTAATGATAACTAAGTGTGTCTCCAGCTGTTGAAAAATATGAAAAGCAGTCATCTTGATTTTCCCTGAGCATAGGATGTTACTTTTTAATGTCCTTTCAAAGTCTTTGCTTCATCGATCTTCTCTGCTAACAGCTGCAGAAAACATTTTTTTCTTTTATTTAAATCTATTTTTGCTTTTTGTAAAAGCCCTTTTCTTTGGCAAAGCGCAGAAATTAACAACACATAATTTGTTCATTTGTTTAAATTTTCTACATCAAAAGATGAGCAGGATGCAGGCTAGTTTAATTTTTCTTTCCAAAAAGAATGATACTTTCTAGATGTAAAAGAAATATTTGGATACAAATATAAATACAAGTACACAATACAATATTGTAAACTATAGTCATCATGCTGTTCTTCAGATATCCAGAACTTATTCATTTTACATAAGTGAAACTTTATACCTTGTGTACTTGGAATTTTCTAGGAGGATAGATCTTAAAACAGTGTTCTCACCACACACATAAAAAATGGTACTATGTGAGATGATGGATATGTTAACTAGCTTGATTGTGGTGATCTTAGCACAATGTATACATATATCAAAACATCAAGTTGTTTATTAAATGTATGTAATTTTCAAACATAATTTCTAAAAAAATTTGATATTCATTATTTAGAATCTGAGTGGCAATTCTAAGATTTTGTAAACCATAAATTATCATTCTTACCATTTTCCAATCCACTAAACAAATATTTGTTTAATGTCTACTATAAGCTATATAAGACACTGGCAGGAATATTAAAAATGTATAAAATACTGCCCTTAACTCATATACTTTATGATTTAGCTGGGAAGATAATACTGTTGCATGTCAAACAACTAAAAAATAATACAAAGCAATATTAATGATAGTGTTAATTTTAATAAGTTCTTACTAGATGCCTGACAGTGTTTCAAGTACTTTGTATATATTATCGTATTATTAAAAACTTACCTTTGAAGTTTTTTCATTATTATCCCTATCAAGTAATTTGATCAAGGACACAGTCAGTGACAGAGCCAGGATTTAAGCCCAGTTCTGTCTGACTAGATAGCTTACATTTTCTTAGATTACAATTGTTACAACATTTTGAACTATGTTTTTTAGGTTTTAGCTAGGAGTTCTAAATTGATGACTAAATTTAAAAGTATATACTTTAAATTTTAGGATTGATTGTAATATTAACACTTTGTATTTTGATATTCTTTCTATAAGCAAGAGCTATTTCTAGCTATTTCTCAAATCCTTTAGCCTCTGCTCAGCTTGTTATATATTCATCAGTCATATGACACCCAGACAGACACAAGGTGTGGCTTCATGTGATTTGGGTGCCTGAGCCAAATCATTTCTCTATTATTTACCTGAATTTCTGCATGTAAACTTGATAATTGACAGACTACAGAATAAGTTTACTTTTTGTGTACGGTCCAATTATTTCAAAATTGATTTTGATCATATTGCTTTATATTGTTTTATATCTGATGATCAGCATTGCAATTTTCTTAAAATTTAAAAAAGAAAGACACACATCCAACCAAATAAATATGATAAATTTAGGACATTAGACATTGAGACTTCACTAGCAAAAAAGCAAAGTTAGATGATAACTGAAAATATCAAGTTTTCTGTCCTGTCCGTTCCACCCTGCACAGCTTACTGAGTAGTTAATAGGATAATCAGAGAAAACAGCAAATGCTACTCTGCAAGGACAATACATTGAAGATATGATACGTAGACAGTTTCCAGCATGGTTATAAATGGCAGGAAGAGATGATAGAATCTGAGATATAATTTTGTAGCACCCAAAAATCTGTGCCAAATTTTTTGGCACAGCCTCTCTGTCTACAGAGAGAGAAAGACCATACAGGCAAGTGTAGCTGTATTCAAATCAAAACTCTCAGTTCAGCAGAGAAGACCACCAACACCAGTTAGGTAAGACTTCATTGATGAATTGGCTTTTTTCTAGCTTTTGAAGGCTAAAAACTGAGGAAGGGCATTTCCTGCAGAAGGACTAGCCTGCAGGCTGACGGTAACGGAGCTCTCTTCATTGGTCTGTCTACTCCCTCCTGTGTCTCACGCCTCTTTCCTTGGTCTCCAAGCCTCAGTAGCTTTCTACAACACCCTCCTCTCACTTTCCCAAGCAGCTAGTTCCCTGAATGTTTTGGCTTATTCTCCCACCATCTACCCCTTCTTGGCAGTTGCTCAGGAACACTGATACTAGAACCTCAGAAGAAAGGACCAGGAGGTAAAGCTGATAAGAGCAAAACACTAAGCTGAGAAAAAGTTTTGGAAATGTAGGCTGGGCATAGTGGCTCATACCTGTAATCCCAGCATTCTGGGAGGCTAAGGCAAGAGGATTGCCTGAGGCCAGGAGTTCAAGACTAGCCTGGGCAACATAGCAAGACCTCATCTTATTATTTTTTTTTTTTAATTATTCAGGTGTGACTACAGGCACCTGTGGTAGCAGGTACTTATAGTCACAGCCACTTGGGAGGCTGAGGCAGGAGGATCTCTTGATCCTAGGAGTCCAAGGCTGCAGTGAGCTGTGATTGCACCACAGTATTCTGGCCTTGGTGATAGAGCAAGACCCTGTCTAAAAAGAAAAAGTTTTGGAAATGTTTGTTGGTAATGTTTCATAACAGAGTGAATGTACGAAATGCCACAGAACTTTATGCTTAAAAATAGTTTAAATGTTAAATTTTATGTATATTTTACCACAATGAAAGGAAGAAAGAAAAAAGATTATACAGAGAAAATTTGTCTTATGCTGAATCCATGAAGCTGATTTTTTTTTCTTTTTTTTTGTTTTTTGGAGAACTTTAAGTAGAAAAAAGCTGATTTTTTAATGTGAATCTTAGTGCAGGTCAGCACTCATTTTCAAATAAAGATCAGGATTGGCTTGCTTCAGAGATGTTTAAATCAATAAAGAAAAAAATAAAGCACAACCATAGATCCATTCCCCAGGCCATTTGGTCTACCTAAATATTCCTTTCTCAACAATGCCTGTGAAAATCAAACAAAAGAAACTCTTTCACCTTTTAATTCAAGAAAGATTTGTAAATAACATTAGGAACATCATGCATTAGACTCTATTAATGAATTATAGTAAAGAAAATACCATGTTATTGGGTACTATGTTGTGTTAGCCTGTAGGTTTATATATGCTTTTAGAAGCTTTGTATTCTATAGTAATTCATTCTTCTTCTTAGCAGCAAAAACTTATTTTCTAAAGTAAATTTATGCAGAATTTTCAGTATATGAAACAGATAATCCAGACAGCATAGCTGGGCTGGTACGAGTTAGGAGTGGGAGACCGGGGACCCTACCCAATGCCCTTTCCTCAGTGTCCTGCAGCCCTGGAAGCACCACTGCAAAGTAAAGCAGTTGAAAGCTGCTGCTCTAGAATGTACACATTCAGAATTCACAGTGGCTTAGATTTGTGTGTGGTCTATTTCTAGGGCTTTACACGGGGCTTTTAGCATAGCTCCCATTATGTCACTTTTATGAGAAAATCAGGTTTAATGTATTTAAACTTACAGCACCTTTCCTAAGATTGTAACCTGATGTAAAGGAAAGATATGCCTCTAATGAGTTGTTAAGTTGTAGTGGTTTGGTCATCTCTAGGATAGGCAAAAACTCTTGGATTTTTCTGAAAGTGTAGTATTTGAAATATTTTTTCACATGGTATATCAGGAGTAATTTAAAATCTTTTTTATTTAGTAAATTTCAGGTTCTAGAAAGCATTTGTCTTTTTAAAAACTGTTGCTGTTTGACTTTCAAATTGATTGTCTTTAATGAAGGCTTTACTGAAAAGGCTTGAAGCTGTGAAACCAACAGTTGGTATGAAACGCTCAGAACAACTGATGGACTACCATCGCAACATGGGTTATCTCAACCCATCGCCAATGTCAAGACAAGTGAGATCTGCTCTTGGCCAGTATAGCCCATTAAGTAAGCATATTCAAAATTATTTTGTACTTATCTGTATCTTGTAAATTTTTTTTAATGTAACTTCAGTTCTTATGGTAGAGCTTAAAAATGCTAACTTCTGGAATGCACTCCATTTACTGGCATGTTTTCTTTTATTTGTGTTAGTTCACTTAACACATGTGTTTCATTTACAGCATGTAATGACAGCATAGGAAACCAGGAGATAAAACAATTGAAAATATCAGTAGTTTTTTTAGATAATTGAAAAGGGATTTCTAATTTCAATGTATTTATTATTTATATTGAATAAATATGCTGTTTAAAAGTTGCTTAAACATCCCCCTGGCTAGTTAAGAATTATCACTGATATCCTCCAGCACTTACATGTGCTTTTTCTTCCTCATTGGATAACTAATACAAAAATTAGCAAACTCCAGGGTCATCAAATATAATACCTCTCAGTGCTTGATATGTGATCAGTTACAGACATAGCCAAGGAATACAGGAATGGAATGACCATTTAGTGTTAGGGTATGCAACATGTAGAAGGGCTACATACTTGCCTGTATATAAGTCTGTGCCGTCACTTCATGTATGTATTCAAAACTGTGTAAAAAATAGAAGCCAGTACTTAATACTAAAGGACGTTGGAGCCACTTACAATACCACAACTTCCCAGTGCTCATGTGAGTCTTAAACACTCAAGTGACTGGCAATTCCATTTATTCATTCTAAAACATTGCTTCCTTGGTATATGACTAAGAGAGAGTCTTGTTCTAGTAACTCATACTTAGTATTGTGCCTTCAATGTAGTAAATTATTTGTTGAATAAATATGTGTGATTATACAAACTATGAAATATTTTATTTTTCACCTGAATTATTTGAGAATCTTTTTAAAACCTTTATTCCCACTTTAAATCTAGTAAATCAAAGTCTGCTAGTGTGGAATCTGAGCATGTTTGTTATTATATTTTTAAGTTCCATGGGGAATTCTGAAGTACATTCCTGGTTAAGAATCATTGCATTGGACTATTAGGCACACATAAGATATGGAAGAACAACTCGTCTGCACTTAAAATTAGGAGAGGAAGTTTCTCATATGGTGATCTGCATATTTAAATAATCCAAGTATTTCTTCTTTGTATATTTTCAGGAGGAGCCTCCAGGACTTCCAGTGCTACCAGTGCTCTCAGTTTTAAGAGTGAGCGATCAGTTCTTGACACGTCCAGTGGACGCTTGCTAAGACCTAGACCCCCTCGTGTCCGTGCAGCTTGGTTATAAAACCCTTTTTTACATTGTTCATCCAATTTTTATGGAAGTGCTCTTGCATATTACTCTAGTTCTCTGTGCAAACATTTATAATACTGTCTAAAAATTTAAAATGTACAACAGTGAGTTGTAATCTATTGTTATTCAGTACAAAATTGTTGTCAAAAAGACAGTTTAAAATCAGTGTTTCCTATGAGGATATATTTATATGAGATGTGTATGTATTTAGTAGAGAAACGGTAGTATACATGTTTTCTCAGTATAGAAATTGATTCAGTAGTCATACTGACAAAACAGTCATGATGGTATCATTGCATGTTGGACCCAAGATACTCACTATATGTGTTCTCATATGTTATTTTCTTTTCTTCTAAGCTTTAAACCATGGGCTTAGCTCCTAAATTTGGCTGACTTTTTTTTATTTGCTTTAGAACTTATGTGGTGTGACTCATAACTTGATCGTATGAGAATTATACTTTTTTATTATGAAACAAATCTTGAAGTTTTGTTTTCATTAGTGGAGCTAGGTTTCATTGGTGGATTTAGGTTTGATGAGCAGATTGAGAGAACTTGTACCAGCGCAATCCTTGTGATTCACCAGAGGTATCTAGTGAATGTATAAGTGTGTTGAGTGAGATCTTAAAAATTTGGTAAACCATTCAAAACCTTTCAAACTGTGAATATTAGGAAATTCAACTTAGAAGGCCTCCACTTTTTGTGTTTTTATACAGTCAGGGTAAGTCCTATTAATGATTCTGAGAAATGAGGTAGGCTTTACAGAGCTACATACAGTCTACTACTTTGTGAATAGTTTGTTTAAGAACGAGATCAGTTGCATCATAAGCGAAAACAAGTATTTGCTGAATCAGTAAAATAGCACCACTACCTTGAAGAGCCAAGAAGCAGATCCTGAGATGTGTCATAATAGTGTTTTAAGTGGTGCTGTTAGCATGTGTGTTATGATTTAGTATTTATTATATTAATAGAGAAGACTTAGGATAAGAAAGAAATGCTTGTAACTTTTTAAATTAGAATATATTTCTGTCAATCTATAGGCTCTTACACAACAGGGTATAATATCTCATAGTCACCACTGATTTTCATTACTAGCCTTTCCAGTATACTCTTAAAATATATTGGAAAGTTTCCATATTAAATGACAAATCTTTCTTTATTAATATGAATTTTTGTACTATAGCCACCATAAGATGTGTTTTTTATTTTTCGGAGCCCAAGTTCTGTAGCATGTATGCTGAACTTTTTTTCTAAACACCTTTAGCAGTCAGCCAAACTACATTTTGCTAATAATCATCAGTTCAAAATTTCTTGGTCTCAGTCTGTATTACTAGATTTTGTTTAGGATAAGGCTTTCCAATGAGGTTAGGAAAAGTTCACATGAACACAGCCTGGCTCTGAAGTTCCACTGCTGCTTCCTTGGGTCCTAATGTTCATTCAGCATTACTTGATCCTCTGTTGGTACCTAAGTTGCTATGTCACACCTGCTTTATGTATAAGCTTTAGCTATACTAAATCAAGGCTTTGCTTTGTTCTGTTTTATTGTACGTGTAATGTTTGTATAACAACGTATCTTTATCTTTAACTTATCTTTATCAGGAGAGATAAGGTAGTGCTGAATTTAAAATTCAGCATTTGAACATCTGCCTGATGGTAAATTAGTCAATTTTTAAAAATTGTTTTTTAAGTTGTTTGTTTGGAAAATATATATATATACGATCATCTACCTTTTATATTCATAATGGCATTAGTGTCTGAGTACATTTTATATTATCTTTGCTGCCACATGAAAGGATAAAGCTATACTTTGATTGTAGATACTAATTTAATGCCTTTAGTTTGTACTGCTTTGAAAGGGGAAGTTCATCTAAGTATTACTTTTAATAAGGATTCAACTTGAAGTAAAAGTTGGGAAGAGCAGCAGTCTTCTTTAAGCAGAATTTTTAGTTCTGTTCTCATGGTTATTTATGATGAATGTAAATGGACGGATAGGAGTTGCAAAGTGTGGTATTCTCTGAGATAGTTAAGGTATCTTTGAAGTTGTTATCGTTGAAGGGGCATTTTTATGAAGGATTCATAAGTATATTACTATTTTCATTTTTAAGAACATAAAGGATGATCTAACACTATTTTATATTTGGTTGACTTTGACTTAATGTGTGTATTTTGAAGATTTACATTTATAACTAGAACATATACTAATCCAAAGTCTATTTATTAGGCCAGATTCTTCTTATTTTCATTTCTGTCAGATGCTAAACTGGTGTGGCCTCCTTTTTAATGAGTTTCTATGAAAGATTTTATTACACTATTTATTATTTCTTAAGGGGTAGCTATTATCTTATACAACTTCTACTTTCTTTTTCAATCTCCATAAAAAGCTGCTTTCTTAACTACTCCAAATAAAGTTTTCTGGTTTGCTTATAAATATAGTGTAAAGCAGTTGCTTTCAACCCTTTAACCCAAGAGTCTGAAACAGATATCTAGACAACTTTAAGAAGTTGATTGTGATGGGTATGATTGTGTGCTTTCATCATCAGATTCAAGACTGCATACTATGAAACGAATTAAGACCAATATAAAGTTGAGGATGTGGGTTTATTATATTAATAATTAAATTCATAAAGTTTAATATCTTAAATACCAAAGTCTTAACCTATAAATGATTATATACCATCTTAGAAAATGTGCCTAACGATAATGGCTACTTTATTTCCCTGAATAAAGACTAGTAAAAAACTTAAAATCAACATCCTTTTAAATTTTCCTAGTCCATTGTAATGTATCTTAGGCATGAAGAACTAGCTTGGTATAGTGAAGAAAGAAATAAAAGAATTGAAGATAACTGAGTTTTGAGTCTGTGTTTATCTGTAAAATGCATTGTCTTATTGCTGTTTTGAAAGTTAGTAACTTTTACGTGCCTTACCAGACTACTAGAACATAGTTGGGAAGAAGGTATCATTTCTTTATATCTTTGAAGGTGTAACAATTTATATGGAAAAGAGTTTGCTTAAAATTATATTCTTGATCAGCATTTCTTTAAACTACATTATCTAATTTCTTCTGTAAAATTATATGGTGCTACAATAAAATAGACACTCTTAGATCCTGAAGGAATTTTTTTTAGAAGTACCTATGCACACCAGCATTTCATATGTGTTATATATACTGTGAGCAATAGACACTCTTTTTAAAACTTACTGCAAGGCCAGGCGAGGTGGCTTACGCCTGTAATCCTAGCACTCTGGGAGGCTGAGGCAGGCGGATTGCTCGAGGTCAGGAGTTCGAAACCAGCCTGAGCAAGAGCAAGACCCTGTCTTTACTACAAATAGAAAGAAATTAATTGGCCAACTAATATATATATATATAAAATTAGCCGGGCATGGTGGCACATGCCTGTAGTCCCAGCTACTCGGGAGGCTGAGGCAGGAGGATTGCTTGAGCCCAGGAGATTGAGGTTGCTGTGAGCTAGCCTGACGCCACAGCACTCACTCTAGCCTGGGCAACAAAGCAAGACTCTGTCTCAAAAAAAAATAAATAAATAAAATAAAATAAAATAAAACTTGCTGCAAAAACATCAGTTTAGTAATTTTTTTATAAGAGCGTAATAAAAATAATGCCGTTGGAATAAATCCCTGAGTAGTTCCTGCAGTAGCACAGCTGAGCTCTCAGTTACAAAGTTAAAGAATGCTTAGAATGAATAGGATTATATTGTGGCAAAAAGTTGTATTTGAGTTTTAAATTCTGGTGATGGTTTTTTAATCCACTTAAGGATATTTCTGGAGCCACCACGGAACTCTTAATGTGTGCTTCTATTTCAAAATCCTTTTGGAAATTTCAAGTAGGTTGCACTATTTGTTTTAAATGATGTTTTAAGGTTTTACTGATTTACAAAACTCATAAATTTTATTTGACTCATGAGTAACATGACATTATTTTACTGTAATTTAATATTAGAGACACAGGGTTTTTTCATATGAATCTAATTTAACATTTGTTATTATAACATCATAAAAGAATTTGGAAAGTCACCAAAAAATATATATGACTATGATACGCTTCACCAAAAAAACACAGATGTGTATTATATACATTTTAGAATTATATCTGATCTGCAAGCTTAGAGTGTTCTTTGTTCTTAATTTCATTCTGAGAATCTATTTCATGTAGAACATATCCAAAATTAAGCAAATACATCTTCCAATGTAGTTACCTATACTAACTAGAAAAACCTAATTCTGCTGTTACCTTGAGAGATTTCATTTTAAATTATATTTTTGGGAATGTGAGATAGGCTTTGTCTTTTAGATGAATATCCACAAGAAAATGACATTTCATAGATTTTTGGTTTTTGTTAACTGTATTACAGAATTACAGAAAAGGGTACAAAACATAAATGCACAACTCATAAATCACCACAAAGCAGACATTTGGGTCACTACTCTCTTAACACTTCAGTGTAGTTTTGCCTGGTTTTGAGCTTCATGTAAATGGAATTATACTCTATTATATATGACTCTTTTTGCTCAATGTCTTTGTGAGATTCTTTTATGTTGTTGCATGTAGCTATAATTTATTCATTTTTATTTTTGTATGGTATTCTAGTGCTTGATTATACCATAATTTATTTTTCTCTTCTGTGGTTGATGGACATTGTGTGTGGGCTCGGAGGTTTTGACTATTACGGATGCTCACATGAAGATTTTTGTAGATGTGTCTTGGTTGACCTGTGCTTGCCTTTTGGTTGGGCATGTACCTAGGAGTGGGGTTGCTGGGAGCGCGCTTGTGTTTAATAGATAATGCCAGAGTTGTCCAGAGTGAGTGTATTAGTTTTTATTGCTCCATATCCTCATCGATATTTATTCAATCATTTTTTTAAAGTTTAACCATTCAGGTAGATATATAATTATCTCGTGATTTTAATTGCATTACTCTGACTAATAATTAGACTGAACCCTTTCATGTTTGTTGGCTTTTGGGATATCTTTTGTGAAGTGCTTATTCACAAAATAAGTACTTATTGCCTATTTTTTCCATTGGGTCAAATGTCTTTTATTAATTTGTAGGAGCTGTTATATGTTCTAGATCTGATATAATCCCTGTATGAGTTAGGTTACAAATATTATCTTTAAATCTAGCCTGCCTCTTCACTATAAATGGTATCTCTGAAGAAATTATTAATTTTACTTTATCAATTTTTTTTATGGCTAGCACTTTTTTTAATGTTGAAATTTATAAAATTTTCCTTTTCCCAAGGACATAGAGATACTCTGCTACATTCTAGAAGTTTTGCCTATCACTTAAATGCAATCCACCTGGCATTTTTGATTGTCTCTTTCTCACCAATTCTGTTACTTTAATTATTTCCTTTCAGCTTCCTTCTTTGGATTTAATTTGCTATTATTTTTCTAACTTCTTAAAATAGATGTGTAGCTCACTGACTTTTAGCCCTTCTTCTTTTGTAACAGATGCATTGAAGGCTGTGCATTTCTTGTAAGCATAGCTTTAGTTGTTTCCAATAAGTTTTGGTAATGTGGCATTTTTATTTTCATTAAGTTCAAAATATTTTCTTTTTTTTTTGAGACAGAGTCTGGCTTTGTTGCCCAGGCTAGAGTGAGTGCCGTGGCGTCAACCTAGCTCACAGCAACCTCAAACTCCTGGGCTCAAGCAATCCTCCTGCCTCAGCCTCCCGAGTAGCTGGGACTACAGGCATGTGCCACCATGCCCGGCTAATTTTTTCTGTATATATTAGTTGGCCAATTAATTTCTTTCTATTTAGAGTAGAGATAGGGTCTCGCTCTTGCTCAGGCTGGTTTTGAACTCCTGACCTCGAGCAATCCGCCCGCCTCGGCCTCCCAGAGTGCTAAGATTACAGGCATGTGGCACCACACCCGGCCAAGTTCAAAATATTTTCAAATGTCCATTGTGACTTCCACTTTTTAACCCACAGGCTCTTTAGAATATATTTTTAATAGAACGTCTTAAAGTTATATTTGTGTTGCTATATGAAAAATTGTCAAAAAAAAGCTCTAAGGTATAAAAAGCCAAAGAATAATGTTTTGTCATATGTGAAAAGCATATCAAAATTCAGATTTCAGCATCTGTTGTAAAGTTTTATGGAACCCAGCCATGCTCATTCCTTTATGTCTTGTCCAGGGCCACTTATGCAATGTGACAGCTGTGTAGTTGTGTCAAAGACCATCTGGCCAGCAAATCCTAAAATATTTCCTATCTGGTGTTTTAGAGAAAAAGTTCGTTTATCCCTGCTCTGGATAGTAGTTTCTTCCAGATAAGATTTACTTTTACTTCTGGTAGGGTTGCTTGTGATTGCAGGTCACCTTAATCTGGTCATAGAATTTGAGATGATCTGAAGGATGACATCAATAACTGCAAGGGCCAAACTATTTCCAGTTCACCCTGTTGCTAGAGTGCAGCCCTTCAGCGCTCCAATCCCAAACATGGGGGCTTTCCAGCGCTCCCCTTCCTTGGCAGGCCCTGGATTCCAGTCCCTCTCTGAGAGCCTTTTTCAAAATCTCTCTCCAGTTCCTCAGCCTTCCAGCTACCTTTTCCGCAATTGGCAGGCACCCCATGGAAAAAATTGGCCCCAAATGCGAGATTCACTTCTTTGGGTCTTTGTCTTTCAAATATTGGCCCTATAATTTTCCATGCTTTGTTAGCTTCTTAGTGTCTTCAAGAAGATTTTTATTTTATTTTGAACCCCTTTTCTGAGAGAATATTTGTTCACATTACCTAGTCCACCAATACAGAAATCCTAAACAGATCATATGGATACTTTGTTTTTTGTTTTTTGTTTTGTTTTTTAGAGACAGGGTCTTACTGTGTCGTCCAGGCTGGAGTACAGCAGCTATCATAGCTCACACTGTCCTCTCACCTCAGTCTCCCTAGTAGCTGGGACTACAAACACCAGCCACCACTCCTGGCAGATATTTTAAAGGTAAGTTTTAGATCTTACCATGAAACTCTGCCAAACAAGAGTTGTGTTAATCTTGAATCTGAAGGTGTTCGGGCAGTCGTCGCATGAAGTAGCCACCACCCCACCGCCACCCCTGTCTCTTCCCCCACCATGTCCCCTCCAGAGTTGGAGGCCGTGGTTAACATGATCCTTTTCATCTAGTTCCCACCAGTGGCAGAAGCCCGAGCATAATCCTGGCCTCTTCCCTCTCACTTACTCTCCCTTTTTCAAGCCCACTCTGAGCCCCACAGGCACTCTTGACATGATCCTATTGTTACTGCTTTGTCCTGGGCCGTAACCATTCCTCACCTCCATTTGTCTCCTTGCCCCTCAGCCCATTCTACTGCTGCTTAACTGCCAAAGTGTTACAATTGCATCGTGTCACATCCTGTTTGAAAATGCCGGTGGCTCTCCATAGGTTGCTTATGAAATCACAAGCCCTTCAGAGCACACCAAACACTTTACAACATAGTCTAACCTGCTGTCGCTCCCCGCAGGTCTCTTTCAGAACTACTTCAGGGGCACAATGTCAGTATCCCAGCATTTTTGTAATGCTGAGGTCACGCCAGCTGTGTGCCACGTGTGCTGACTGGTTCATCAGACAGCGCCCTAGGCGCACTTCCCCAGGAGGCCTGCCTTAATCTCAGCTTCCCAGGACTCTAGATTCCTCACGGGCAGCGTCAGGTTTCTGTGACTGTGTCCTCAGGGCCTAGCCCAGGGTAAGTATTCAGATGGTGGAAGAAGTGACAGGTCAGCCACAGCAGCCCTGCTCACACTCCCCACCCCCCTTCACCCTCACCATTCTTTCCAAGTGCCAGTCAGTCTTTCCTAACTGGAGAGGGAAGTTCCCCATGCCTAACTGACCCTCTAGCTGCT